ATAATAGAGTGGACTTTTAATTAAGTAATACAATATGTTTTTAATGAAGCAGCTCAACGTTCCTTCATTACTAGTTCTAAAGTGATGTTTTGAATTAGTAAAGGAGGCTTTAGCACAGCTGTTAAACTGTGAAACTGAGATTTGAATATGTGGCGGAAGGAAGTAGTTCCGCACAAAAGGTTTTTTAAAGACACCCCGTTGTTGTTTTTCTTATATATTTACACTCGAGCCGTCGAACTGTTGTATAAACGCAATATCACTCTTATACTCGAGTGATACCTCGAGCCTCTGGCCTAATCACAAAGCCGGTATCGCTCTCATACTCGAGTGATATTGCTCATAAATAAATAGCTTTTTATATTAAATATATATTAATTTGATTTTATCTATCTATCTATCTATCTATCTATCTATCTATCTATCTATCTATCTATCTATCTATCTATACAAATCTCAAAAACTGGCACTAAACTGTGCATTACAAATTGCCATCACTGTAACAATTACCTATCTTGTGAAGGTAATTTATGTGAAGGTTTAAAAGACATCTTATACTGTGTCAACTAAAAAGAGCTCTATGCAAATTGTTCAGTTTGTTTACACCATTTTATATTGCTCAATCTTATGTGCTTCAATCATGTTTTCTATACAAATCTGCATGGAGATAAAAGTGGTTGCTGTCTTAGGCTAAAAATAAAATGCCACAACACTGCCTCACATAAAATCACATAAACACTCAAAAGTAAAAAACACTCTTGATGAATGAAACCCTTAAATCATCATACAAACCTCAAAACGTGGTACATATAATATGACAAGTACAGCAATCAACTAACTGCTCATTTGGAACAAATTCATCCTGACCTCACACTTAAAAAAAACAACAACAGTTTTTTACCCCCCAGTTTTTTTTTTTTTTATAATGTTGGAATGAATGTTTTTAAATATGTTTATATGTTTTGGAGCAAAATTAGGCAAGAGGGTTATATTTTTTCAGTTTTTGTACTTCATAATTTCATGTTTGATTTAATGTGCTACTTTGCATTTCTTTGTTTGCAAAATTTCTGGGGAATTAAAAAAAATAATAATAAAAAAAAAATTTCACAGTTTGATTTCCCCACCCAATCTCTTCAAAAAATTCCTTTGCATGTGAACATATACATTGTCCGTCATTTATTCAAATTAAAATGTTTATCAAACTTTCGCCCCGAACATTCATCTTGGTATGAACAGGCATTTCGTTTCTAGAACAAAGAATCATTTTTTGCTGAGTAGAGCCAAAACTGAAACACAGTAGCCTGGTTGATCTATATAGCGTAGACAATTAAATTTGTGAGTAACTGAGTGATTGATGTTTTCTGTCAGGACTGAGATCAGATAGACTGACAGCTTGCAAGGATAAACTATTCAACCAGCTCCTGGCACAAACTAGAGACATTTCCTCCTGGTTCAGCTAGATTGCACCAAGCTCTAAATCAAATCAGACGCCATCCCTAGCAGGCGGATTTCACAACCCCCCGTTATCGCTTCCTCTTCTCCACTCCTGATGTGTTTCTTATTACACTGTTTCCCAAATGTGAAAGTTTTCAGTCAGATCTGAGGCTCGTAGTGTTAATAATTAAGCCATTGCTCTGGCACTTTCTTGCGGTTGAGCAACTTGGTCTATACACTTCACTGCAGTCAACACAGCAGATCCAAACAACCCTCCTCTCCTGCATGCATAAAAACACACATGGACGTCCTCGCAGGTGCTGCTCGGCCAATCAAAGTTCCTCCTACAGAACCAGCTTCAGGAGGATGTAATTGTGGGAAATGCTGTGTTGGCACAGCATGAGACCATATCTGCACAAATTAACTATAGACTGATGCAGAATAACAGACAGGTGTGGATGAGCGCTGGGCCTAGGTGAGGAGTTCATTTAATATTCTACAAATTCCACAAAATATTCTAGCATTAATAATGAGTGTGGTATTACGAAAGCTAATACAGACATGTAGAAAACTGACTATTTTACAGCTCAAATAATTACAATAATTTGTGCGTGTTTTAACAAAAATATGAGCTTTACATGTCTGGTTCTAAATGCTATGGAATGATGGTCCTGTTTACTTCCATTGTGTGTTATTACAGTATATCGATATGTACATTTTTTGATAAAAAAACAACAACTGATGGGCAAACTGAAAAAAAATCATTGTCACAAATTTTGATTCTACTGAAACCAGAAGAGTCACTTAAAAATTCTGGTATTCAAATGCCCCGCCCCCTGGGAAATCAAATTGGGTAAAATCCTGCTCCACATAGCTGCATAAACAAAGTATGTTCTAATTGGCTGTGATTAGGGCTGTAAGATTTGAGGGAAAATGTAGCTGAGATTTTTGTGAAAAAATCTGAATATATATTTATTAATCTTCCAGGTTTGCTGTGCTTGTATGAGGGATGTACTTCGAACAAAGAGACTTTAATGACATCAAGGGAACCAGGAACACACACATAGCGGGGAAAGAAGACATTCAATACCGGACAGGAAACTCAGAACAGGAAACACTTTAAATACACATGACATGAAGAGGGGATGACGAGAAACACCTGGGAGCAATAACGAAATTGCATATGAGGGAAAACTGGGTCATGGAAAGCATGTGGGGGAGGAAAACTATTATAAAAAATATTATATTATATTATTATTTACAACCATAATATTAGAATAATAATTTTTATGGCTGTCTGAATTTTCAAATGTTAAACAATTTCTGAGACACTGAAAACACAGATCTTGATCTTATTTTGATTGTGATTATGTCAAGTTGCACAGAATTTGTACTTTCATTGTGGATGTAAAACTACTTGTCGCCGGAAACCTCTGAAGACGTCAAACAAATTCGTTTTCAGACATGAGGCAGATTAAATGATGACATAATTTTCCTCTCTGGGTGATAAAATTGTTCAAGACAAAGAACTAACAAGTCAAAAATAAATGTTTCTAAGTTGGAGAGAACATTCTAAATCACTCATTGGGATTTCATGTTTCTGACAGTTTGGGAGAAGGCAGCATAAAGCGGCTCTATGTAAGTCGGCTGCCTCTGAGCACAAAGTCATCACCTGAATGCATAAATCAGCCACTCAAAGTTAATTGTTATTCTACTTCCATGTATTCTTTGATCACACCATTCACGTCTCAGTCTGTGTGGGCCAGAAAACACTAAGCTATCTTTGACACATGGATCTTTTACAAATCAAAAGACATTTATTATCTCCATACAAACGACCTGGGGAATTCTCAGATATGGAGAGCCACAATATCATTATAAAATCCAATCCGCCAGGTGTATCGAATACATCCCATGATTACTTCCACGCGAAAAGCTCTGCTGACATAATGAACGGGGCATTTGCTGAGCCTATGATAACGCTCCTGCTCCATATTGATCAGATCTGGGAACAGTAGATATCTTTAACGCTGCAGCGAAGAGTCCTTTAAATGGCTCACCTCCCATACCTCATTTATCAAATGTAATCTGTTAGTATTCCACAACATTAATCAAGCCGCTGTCCCACTTTCTGGTGTATGTGCGTGTATGCGCTCTCATGGTTGTGTGTGTGGGAGTCTGGGAGATTGTCTAGTTGTTGATTTTGCGTCTGCTCTTGATTAAGGGTGTTTACGGGTAAAAGTGCGTCTTATAAAGCTTTGCCCGGACCAATATTGATTCTCTACAGAAATTTATAGCCAACAAATCATACAACAGGTGAACACAAAGCCATTTTACAACATCCAGCTCGGCATGGAAGAAAAACCAGATGATGTATTCCACTCTTTATATCAGGCAATGAGATACAGCTATAAATCTTTGTACATAAAAATGTGATTCTGAAACTTTTGTCCAAAACCTAGTGAGTTTTCTCATTGCCTACGGCCTACATAGCCTTCATAGGCAAGACCCTCCCAGCTAACAAATGTATGTTCTGAAAACAGGGATTTGGAATATTTCGAACACGTTAAAATATTCAGTTTTCTTGTCATTGTTAGGACAGTGTTTAAAAAGATAGTACAACTTTCCTCTAACCTTTGTTACTCAAAGTATAACATTCTTTGAATGTTTATTTGTAATATTCCAAGTATGTTAACATTCAGCACATATCAATAACCTCATAAGGATGTCTCGAGAATCTTCTTCTAAGAGTGTTTTCTTTCAACAATGAGAATGAGATGAGAATGCATATTCAGTTTCAATTTTATAAGAATGTTCTATAAATATTACTTTGAGCATGTTTTATCTTGACATTTACCTAACCTTTAGAAAACATTAGTGTAAATTGTGCAAACATTCATTATTAGCCGGGCTAACAGTCATGAAACGAGAAAGAAGTGAGAGAAAGAGTGAGAATAACATTTAAATACTGTAATAATCATAAATATAGAAGGCCCTTTCAAATTTCGAATTATTTTGCACTATTTTTATTGATACTTTTCAGTATTGGATGAATTACAATTTATAAATGTAATTTCTCTTGATTTGTTTGCCATCTTTAATTTATTTTTCACCATCATGGATTTATTTATTTATTTTTTGCCACTTAATATATCCACCATGTTGCATTTATGTTTTCAATCAGCTCACCATCATATTCGACTTTTTTCACTCAGCTTTTCCATCATCTTCAATTAATTGGATTTTTTTTTATTGAGCTTATCTACCATTTTAGATTGACAATTTCACTGAGCTTGTCCACCATCTTGGATTTAGTTTTTTACTGAGATTTTCCATTACATTACAGTGCATTTAGTCATTTAGCAGACGCTTTTATTCAAAGTGAATTACAAATGAGGACAATAGAAGCAATCAAACCAACAAAAGAGCATTTGTCAACCATGTTGAATTTATACTTTTACTGAGCTTGTCTACCATATTGGATAAATTTGGATAAACATTCAGCTGAGGTCCACCACCCACCTAATAACACACAAGACAAAGATATGAGTTTAGTGGCGATCACTCACCTTTCTTGTCCCCAAAGAAGAGCGTCTGTTGTGCAGGGTTTGACCACTGGAGGGAGGTGTTGTCATTGTGTTCCACACGGCAGGTCAAGTTGGCTATTCCTCCTTCTGTCACGGTCATGTTCTGGACGATAGGGAACTGGCCTTGAGCTCCTGGAAGAGACAGACAGAAAGTGTGTGAGAGACA